CTTATCAGTGATGCAAACCCTGGCTATGTGTTCTGGAAATCCTGGGAATTGGGAACTCAGTGGCTTCCCAAGTCTCAGAGTGGAGTGCTGCACTTATTCATAGCCCCGTGGGTAGCAGAGAAGCTCTCAAGCTCAAGTTTCAACCACTTTAAAGCTATGTGAACTTAAACACATTACTTACCCTTACCTCCTTACCTCTGGGATATTGGGACAGTATTAGTAATACAGCCCATAGGGTTGGCATGCAGTTCAAATGGTATATTCTATTGAAAAGTCCATGCGTAGTAAAAGTCAGCTAGTAATAGCTTATAACAGCAGCAGGAATAATTCTGTACCCAACCCTTCCATGCATCTCCCATTTAGGGTAATGACAGTGGCTTAATTCTCATTAAGATAATTATCATTAATTCATTAAGAGAGAATTCATAGGTCAATAGCAGAAGCCTTACAGATACTCAATAAAATCTAATGTTCCCCATCCTCCCAAAATATGTCTTAGACATCATGAGAATTACTGGACTATCATCTTGAACCATACCAAAGTTCAAACTGCTGGACCTGGGTCTAGGAGACTATGTGATGCCTTTGCATCCATTCCTTTGGGGCCACTACTTGTATTCAATGCTATTATTAATGTATGTAATTTAATAATTATATTAATGTATTTAACTTTCTACCTTAGGTCCCAAGGTAATGCAGAAGAACAGAGGGAAGCTTTTCTTAAGTATCTCTTAATTTAAGAAGTCATTACAATGTGTAAAATAAGAAGACTAACCATCAACAAAGAAGGGAACTAGTACCAATGCTAATGAGGGACAAAAGATATTGAGAGAAAATTAAGGCAATCATTTGAATAAACACATGATACTTTAAGAACACTCAATGGGATGGGGTAGCATATGCCTTGGTAGAGAGTATTCTCTACACTCCCTTGAGAATAGAAAATACATTGTGAAAATGAGTACATATGCCTGATTCTAATGTGATCAAAGTGGATTTCCTTTGATGCAGCAATTCAGCACTTAGCAATATGTCTGCCTTACAGAAATGGTCTGACAGGCTGCAGGAATATCTGCCTAGCTCAATACACAGGTAACAAGATATACTGTGATGTCTGCTATCTCCTTGTCAGTGCAAAAATTTAAATAATGCCTAAAAACAAATAATAAAGTAAGCGTCAGTATCCTAAGTATATGCACATAATTGTATCTATAAAGTTACGATGGGAATGTATAGTTGACAAAGAGAGATACTTTTAAAATATTGGTTTTCAAAAGTATTATTAATTCATTTAGAAATTCATACAATGAGTTTTGATGACATTTACCTCTATTTCTTCATCTTAACTCCATGCATACCCAACACACACACACACACACACACAGAGAGAGAGAGAGAGAGAGAGAGAGAGAGAGAGAGAGGGGGGGGATACACCCCCACCTTGTAAATTTTTGGAACATGCTAAAGGAATATGAATCAAGCTATAACCAAGTGTCTGTTTTTCAGTCCTGTTAGTAGAAGCATGTACTTCAATGGTAGAATGTCACCTCTTGCTTTATGGAATTCCAATCCACTTATCCTTCGTTCCTTCCTTCTCACTCTCTTCCTCTTTTATTGCTGTGTTCTGTCTTCCTTTCTTCCCTCCCAACGTCTTCCTTATTTCCCATCTGTTATTTATTATATTATAAACAGCACATATTTCTTTCATTCATAAAACACAATTTAAAAACTCAGTGTGCATTCATTATCTTTTATACATTCTTCAATAAACTGATACATTTGTTATTCTGATCTCCTGCTTTCATGCATAATCTTCATAGGAAGGAAAGGTAAGTTTAAAAGAAAGAAGGAAGATCAGAATTTACATGTACTGAGTTTCCTTTTATATTAAGTATAGTGATTACTATTCATTTATTGACATAGGTAAATGTTCAGCAACTTGCTCACATATCAAGGTGATATGTAGCATGCTTTTTTTGTCAGCTGCCAGCTGACAAATAGTGACAAAGAGACTTTTTAATTATAAAAGCTTGGACAGTGGCTTTTTTAATTATAAAAGCTAGTGGCTTAGGCTGGTCCCACTAGCTCTTGTAACTTAATTAACTCGTTTATATTAATCTATCTACATTATGAGATGTGGTATTACCTCTCTCCTCTCTTGAATCTTGCACTACCTGTTTTCTCTCCATGTCTGGCTAGTGACTCCACCTTTCTTCTGCCAGGGTTCTCCTCTGCCTGGGAGTCCTGCCTGTACCTGTTGTCTAGCTATTGGTCATTCAGCTTGTTATTACACCAAGCACTGCAATACATCTTCACACACTGTACAAATATCCCACTGTATCAACCCAACAGTGGTAGACATTACAAGTATCAACGAACTTTCATATCACAGACTAACTAAAACTAGCTAAAAACCCTTCAATCATTGTGCTGGATCACAGTCACAAGCCACTACTGGATAGTGGGACGATCAGGAGAGTACCATGTTCTGGCTTGGCATACAGCTCAGGGTACCACTAGCATCCATTGGCATCAGAAATTTTCTGTATCTAACATTGGATATTGTTTTATTAGTGTATCCTATTTTAACATCAGCCCTTCTCAATATCCTTGACCCATGAAACCCCAAGCCATTGTCACTTTAAAACTGTCTCCCTTAAGTTTTCATAATGCTTCCTGCAAACCTGGATATTTGAGCTCAAAAGGAGTTTGGTACAATTCAACTGGGCTGGGACAATTTAGTGCTCAAGGCAAGGTCCAAGATTGAAATGTGCATATAGGATAACCTCTGGCAATATAATTTCAAAAGACTATAGGATTGCTTTTTGCATTCTTAATTATTATTTTTATAATTATACAGACTCAAGGGGCATAGTATGATGGCTCCACACAGGTATACAATGTACAATGATAGAACAGAATAACTTAATTACTTTCTCCTGAAGGATTTACCTCTTGAGTTTAGAACCTTGAAACAATTCTCTCCTAGTTCTTTGTAAATGCATAATGAATGCTTGTAAATTGTAATCAGTGAACTTGTAACAGTGGCTATACCTTCTTGGGCGTGGCCTCAGGTAGGCAGAAGCAGAAAGAGAGGAGCTTGAGGCATGGCTTTCCCTGACAGGCTCTTTCAGCAGATCCGGTTGGAAGAGTGCTCCATGAAAAGTCACTCCACAAGATCCTCCCTTTCGTTTCCGCCTACCTGAGGCCATGCCCAAGGAGGAGCGGCCTCCGTTACACATCCAATGACAAGATGCCTACTGGAAAAGGCCTACCAGACCTGTTACAAGTTCACTGAAAAGACACCTACATATTCCTACTCCTTAACTGCATTCTGATATTCAGTGACCATGGATTTCCCATGTCTTCATATTGCTTATACTTTGTGTCTTTTAAAGAACAGACATCCATGGTTTTCTCTGTAGATCACCAGAAGCAACAGGCTTGAACTGCGCTGATGTATCTAGATCTCTGGAATTGTCCTATCTCTGGCAAATGGAAGAGGACTGTGAACTCAGGACCATATTTGCTGAGGAACAGCTCTAGCATTTGCCTTCTCAAGGACAGATGCAACTCTTTGTGATGTAGGACTCTAAAGAAATGTGTTCGTTCCCTTCTTGCCAGCTTTTATTCTCCACTTCCCTTCTTGTACCCAAGTCCTATGAACTTAACAAGAAGATAAGAGTCTACAGCAAAGGATTTTTTTCCTATAGGATTTGGGGCCTGTATCTCTGTTCTCAACCCTGCCCACATCCTGGCTGTGCAGCATGGAAAGACATTCAAGCTTTGGGTTTTGTTTCCTAACCATTCTCCCATGACTTATCTCCAGGAAGATTCCCATCTTGCTCTATAAGGGCAGTATAGAGTCTCTGTCTTCCACATTTCTATCCTAGGTGGTAATACAGCTTCTGGCCCATTGGAACCAATTTAAAGAGAGATGAAATGAGAAACATTACCAGCAAGCAGGTACCAGGGGTTCATCAACTGCAAATCCTAGACTTCACATTTTCTAACTCATTGAAACCTTTCAACCCTTCTGCAAAGGAGAACACTTGCAGATACACCGTATGGTGGAAGATGAATGTATAACTTGCCTAGGTTCACAGAAGTGGCATTACTACAAGTGTCAACTCTGTTTCTATTGTCATACCTATTGATAAATTCTATGTTGTAACTGCAGACTCCATTACAATGCACCATCTTAATACTAGGGAGAACAGGCGAGGAGATAGGAGGGGCCATAGAAGGGTAGAGTGAGAGGAAGAAAGTAAACAAGACCATTAGTTGTGTCTTGTTTCTTCCTTTGTTAAGATGTTTTCTATTTTCCATCTGAAGCTTGCTGGACAGCATATTAGGGGTGTGGGCAATGTCATTAAGACAGAGGAAGGTGAAAGTTCTATTTTACTCAATATTGGAACATTCCCATGTGGACAAGGAAGGGTGTCAGCTTAGGTGTGACACTCTAAGATGTGAAAAATGAGAATCTCCATCCAGCAGACAGTTCCAGGATGGTTGGATGCCGGAAATGTATTTCACTGGAGAAGGTTGAAGATTTACAGAAGTAACACGCACTTTCTATTTTTCTCTTGTCAGAATTCCCAATGTATTTCTTGGAGAAAGAAGATCAGACTCGATTTCTTTATGGACAAGAGGGAAAAAGACAATTTTCAAGCTCTACAGAAGAAAAAAAAGTTATAATAAGAATGTGCAGAAATGGGCTATATTCTTGACAGTGAGAAGACTGTCAAGGGAGGCAGTTAAGAAACTTTCAGAGGTGTTGGACTATGGACTTTCTGATGCCTCCAAAACCCCAGTTCCTGATTCTTTAGTTCTGTCATTAGTGAAGACCCAAAAGAGATGGAGTCTCATAATGGAGCAGAGTGACAGGTCTAAGAGTCACAATGACAGATCAGGAAGGATTCTGCCTATGCCCCCAACCTCTGCACCTCTGTCCATGCCCCAGAACATCCCAGGAAAGAAATAATGTTAAAAGGCCTCACCTTTCTTCTCAAAGTCTACTTTCTCTTCTGCCCGTCCCAAGCTGTCCAGGCCACGGGTCATCTGGCTGCCAAACTCATCATCCCTGGAGACATGGTTGGTCCGCCTGGGTGGGTCCTCCTCCTCTTCATAGTCATAGTCATCCAGAATGGGGGTCTCCCGGATGGGGACACCAATGACTGAGTTGTGTGCCTGAAGCCTGGAAGAGCGGAAGCTCTCCCTGGCCTGAGGGCCCAGCAGCACAGACGGAATGTAGTGAATCTCATGGGTGGCTTCCGTGCTGGCGCTCTTCTGGGGGATGCGCCGGCGCTTCTGCCAGCGCCGTTGGGCATATAGTGCCACTGTAAACACCAGCAACAGGAGTAGCAATGCAATGAGTCCACCCTGGAATAGGAAGAAAGAAGAGCAAAGATATGGGCCACTGATTTGTGGATTGTAGGGCCAGAGTGATTTCCTATCTGCCTCACTTAGCCTGGGGTCTATGGATTCCAACAGCTGCAGATTTGTAGCTAGAGAGACACTACTTTCCAGCCTAGCTTTTTCATCAACAAACCGTGAGATTTTGAGAAAAAGATTTTCTTCTCTTTACTTTAGCTTCCTAGCCATCAAGGATGAGTAAGAGTCTCACTCTTCCTTCTTTACAAGTTTAAGTTTGAAAAGAAGAGCAAAGGATATTGCTAACAGCCATGTTAGAACAATGTAGCTTGTTAAATGCAGGCTGTTGCTTTCCTGTTCCTCCCACCAGCTAAGCGGCCCCAGGACAATCCATCAAGCTCTCTCAGCCTCATTTTATTATCTACAAAATGAGTTCCCTAAGGGCTTAAGCGATAGTGATATTCCATATACTCCATTACAGTTATAAGATAGTATTAGATCTCATTATCAAATCCAAACATTTCTACAGTTTATATTTTGTTCATTTTCAGTCCTTTAATCTTTGGTTTTTAAGAAGGGGTCTGGAACAAAGCAGGTGCTTAAAAATGTAGAATGAATGAACACATAGGTGACTGAAAGCAAAGCTGCATAAGGCTCCTTGAATTCAAAGCATAAACTGATGTTAATTTGTCATTAACCCATCCCACGTCTGATATTATACATTACTGAGAAATATGATGGTGGCATGTCTACAAGGGCAACTAAACTAACTTGTAAAATCCATGAAATGATCTGGTTTATGCATTTCTAAGGAGAAACTATTCCCCCCAAATGCATTTATCTCCCAGGTTCCTGCCAAAGGTAGACAGTAGGAGTCTTACAATCCTCTGTTCTTCCGTAATCTCCACAATGCCAGACAAATCTGTGTTGCAGTTATCTTTCTTCACTTTGTATCATGTTCTGCCTTTTGGAGATTAGCTGCCACTTTGTTCAGTTCTGTTTGTGTCATACCCACACAGGAATGGGGTCATCCCAGTTGTATGTGAAGTGGGCATGGTGTTGAAAGGGTATTGGAACCTTATTTTTACTATTTTTATTTAGTGTGTTTGTGTTTCTTAATTCTAAAACTTATATTCTTTCTATTTCACCCAAGTAGTTAGGTTGCAATCTTAGTGCAAGCACAACCAAGTCCTGGTAACTATAACGTCAGAAATTAAACTTGAGCACGGTGTCTTGAGAGAGGGTGACTGCAGTGGACCCTATTTAGATGTCTTATTGTCTTTCCACTAACTTGGTCCTGACATCCTGCTGACTACACACACAATGAAAACTATGAATTTCTTTTATCCAAGCCCCCCAAAATCACTACATTAGAATATTCATCCTCTCCCAAAGGGGGTAGGGCTCAAAGGTAGCTGGGTATAAGGTTGGGGTAGGAACATTGGCACACAACTGAGGTCCTGTCTTAAGGTCTCAAGGAATATTAAGCTGGATATCAGAACTTAGAAACCAATGACTCACATTAAACAGATCCTCACTGTATGTTTTTATGTAGATATGCACATGTATAATTTTTCAAATGAAGTGTGTGAGTCAAAATCTTCTTTGTAAAGGGAGATAAGATGAGAGCTGATGATGTGGAGAACTTATCAGAAACTGGCAGATGGTAAGCATGGGATATAAAGGTTCTCAGTCACATCACCTAAAGTATTGTCCCAACAACCAGAAAAGGTGGCAAAATGGTCACTACCAACTGGAGGGCTGTGCATAAGCATAGGGGCCTTGAGAGAACAACTACTATACCGTTGTCTCATTTGAACAATCTACTCATGAAAGGAGTGACTCAGCAGGAATAAATAGTGTGCTGAGTCACAAGCAGTGCCTAAGAATGCTATACAGACCCTCACTAAGGGAGCAGTCTTCCTACTCCAGCTTCTTTCACCAGGACAAGAAAAAAAGAACAGCAGTTGATGTGTTAGCAGACCTGGACACCCAGACCCTGAGCACAGCAGGAGTAAACCTAGACCCTGGTGACTGAAAAATATTGCAGGGTAAAAGAGGAGTAATGGAGGGAGAGAGGGAGGGAGGAAGGGAGGGAGGGAAGGGTGAGGGTTGAGAATTTTCATAAAGTATGTCAAGGAGAAGTCAAGGCTCAGGGCTGGTAAACTGAGACCATTTGGTCTCAGGGTCTAACTGATGTCAAATCCATCTTGAGGGGGAACATCCTGAGTCTCTTTAGGATAAACAAGGATGGGTAAAAGGATGAAAAATCCCAGAAAAAAAGAGATAGCTGTCTATTAGCAGTTGGTTTGCATGAGTGTGTAAGTGCACAAGTGTATACAAAGGTATTTGATTTACTTCTTTATGGACCTGAGAATTTCACTGTGTTCTCAGGGTGAGAGAAGGGAAGAGATGAAAGAGAAGAAGTGAACCCCCTTTCTTCAGGGATCTTCCTTCCTCAAGTATCTCTGTGCAGGATCATTCTACTTTCATTATTACTGAAAATGGGCCACAGATTCTTCAGAAAAGGCAGGCAAAGATGAAGGCATAGAGGGTGACATGAAAAGTCTATGCCCAGGATCCTCTGGTTCACACACTGCATGCTAATGGCCTTGATAAGTGTACTACAATGGTTTATCTCCTTTGACTCCAATAGGCTCCTTTGGAAATGATTATTCTTACTGTGGAGAATTATGGTGAGAATTTAAAAAGACAACACATGATCTGAGTAAAAGGTGCCCACTACAGAAAGTCCACAAATAGAAGTCTCCTTCCTTTATTTTTCTCTACTCCTTTACTCTAATCAGTCACAGAACAACATCCAGACGTCCTAATCTGGCACTCAATATCTTCCATGACTGGCCTCTGCTTCCTTCTCATGCTTTCATTCCCTGCAAGCCTCACCTGTTCTGCCTAGGAGATCTCAACTTAGACCCAAACTTACTGTCTAGGTTAAACTGTCCCTAAAATATGGTGGTCCCTTATGTCAACTCATTAACTCCTTCACATCAAGTAATGTTTCACTTTCTATAGAGTATTGAACAATGTACCTCAAGAAGTGAGCTCAATTGGAAACTGGAACTTTGTAGATGTGATTAGTTAAGATGAGAACATATGAGATTAGAGAGGACCCTAAACAAGATAGCTGCTATCCTGTTAAGAGGAGAGAACAGAGAGGTATGGGCACATAGAAAGAAGGGATAGTGAAGACAGACAGAGATTAGAGTGACCCATTCAGGGTATGAGCCACTCCCCTTTTCTCCAAGTATTTCAGGATTACCAGTTATCTAGCCACACATTGGATCATCTCTCTGGCCAGCTTTCTATTCCAGATTCTGACCTGATATTTGACAGCATTTGGTGTACTGCTTACAGAAATTGTAAGAAACACCCAGGTACCTAAAACTTTCAGTAGACAAGCCAGAAAAAAATGCAAGTATAAGAGCCTGACATTAGCTATAACCACAGTAGTCACAGAGCTCCTAATCATACTTTGCATAAACCCTTAGCTTCCTTTCTTGTTGTTTTTTTCAGAGCACCTTCACCTAGTTTGCTTACACAAACAATATTAAAACTCATAAATTACCTAGTCTAAAAACAAACACTCCCAAGACACCCTACCAAGAGAGCCTTCAAAGAAGTCAGAGTTAGGATGCCATTCATCCTGGCCTCATTTCCATCTACTTTTCATGTTAAAATATCCAGGCAAGGGAGAAGAAGCAAGAGAAAGGAAAGACAAGGATAATGGGGAAAATGCTTTATTTGACAATGTGTCATTCGGAAACTGATTATTTCTGTCTCCAGCCTTTTTAATATTCCCTCACAATGGCCAAGTCACAAGGGGATTTTGTATTCTAAGGCTGGATTTATAATACTCTGTTCAGCAGTGATAAGAACACGGGCCTTTAATCCTCAGAGCTGTGAACATGCATATCCTCCCAAGTAATGTCCTTCCCTTTTTGCCACTTGTTTCTGGCCCCTGGCAGCCAACCTCATGATAGCTTTGGGCAGGTGACCCAATGGATGCTCTATTTGGCCAAATGCCCAGTGGCAGAGTGAGAATGGTAGCCTGGGGCAGGCCACCAGGTTGTCTGAGAAGTCCCTCTGGGGCTTCAGAGTATGCATAAGCTCTGAGGATTGTAAGAAAATAGTCCAGTCCCTTCGTGGTGCAGAGAAAGAAACTGTTTCTGTCACTGAGAGGATGAGAGTGATTTGGTCAAGATCACAGAATGTCCTGCAAAGGTTTTTGAGACAGAGTTTATAGTCACTACCCATCAAAGCTGCTAATAAATGTGTCAGTTGAGAGAATTTGCTTAATGAAAGAGGTTCTATGACCTTCCATTTCCCTCCTGTCCCAGTTTGCAATATCTTTCATTGTGATCCTTTTAATGTATACTGAATGATCTTGGCTTTGTAACTCTTAATTAATTTTGCTATCACAAGGAAAGCTGAGTTAGAAACAGATCCAGTTCATCTCCCATTGACTCAGTTGGGAATCTTACAGTATGAAGTTTAAGTCTTTGTCATACAGACTTCCATCTTTGTGAGTAACCTGGTCTCCAATGTACATGTTTGAGATACTCATGAGGACTCAGTAGATTTTGTTTTTGACAAAGTTCACATGTTGTAAACTGTAGAAAGAGCACATTGTGTGTGGTAGGGAGACAGAAATAAGGGAGGTCATTGAGGTTTCTGATGACAAGTTCAAACAGTGGTTCTTATATTCGATAAATTTGTACCCCTGGAGCTATTTGGAAATGGTGCAATTGTGGTTGTCACAGCTAGGGATAGGGATAGTAGATTGTTGTTATTATCATCTAGTGAGTAGCGAGTAGAGGCCAGGAAAATGAAACAAATGTACAGGAAAGTCATATAAAAATCAGCTGGTCCAAGTGCATGAGTCACTAATACCACCAGCAACTGGGAGTCCCAGGCTTAAGAAAGTTGATGAAAATGGAAACTAAGGCAGTAGAGGTGGGCAGTCAACAACTCAGCTACTGGGGTTGATA